TTTTTTGGGGGGATTTTTTTTTTTCCCTCTCTCCTTACTCTATGTTGGAAAGTAAAGCGAAGTGGGACAGGATAAAATGGTGATATCCAGATATTCCTTGGTTTTATTTCTTCACAGGACACCAGGCACGGGTTCAGACCAGCAGCATCAGCAAACACTCTAAATTGCTTTAGAAAATGAGGGTTTTATATAAACAGAGCCCCTTTGCCATCAGCACTCCCTTCATTAGGGAGTGGCCATTTTCCCACTGGACTTCTCAGCGTCCCAAGGAAGCCTCAGGAGCAGCCCAGGAGAGGCTGGAAGGTGATCCCACATCCCAGAGGTGAAGTTCTGCTCCAGGGACCTCTATTTATCAGCCCACAGAATCTGGGAGGAAGGAAGATGGGCACTGCCCCCCACAGATCACAGTGGGAACAGCCCACGTGGATCCAGGAGATCCCACCATAATCCACCTTTAATATTACTTTCTGGGTTTTAATATTTACCTTTAATATTACTTTTTTTCCATTCACAGAATCATTAAGGTCAGAAAAGAAACTCCAAGATCATCAAGCCCAACCTTCATATTAATCCACATTACATTTAATTTTGCTCTGGGGAGACTAAATTAAAATAAAAAGTCACAATACACAGCACATTTGACTTCTGTCCCACTGTGTCACCTTTCCACAAAATAAAATCATGGAATATTCTGAGTGAGAAGGGACCTCTAAGGACCATCAAATCCAACTCCTGGCCCTGCACAGGACAACCCCAAAATCCCACCATGTGCCTGGTGTGAATATCTTACCAAGCTTAATGACATAGTCACTACCTAGAAACACCATAAAACATAAATATATACAAATACATATATTTATTTATTTATTCGAGCTTCTAGAGTGAGGTTTAAACATTTCCTGCTGTCACCTCACAAACAGCTTTATTATTACACATTTCACATCGCTGTGGATACTCCCAGACAGGAGGTTATTTTTTTTTTAACCCACCCCTTTTTCCTTAATTAAAATCGTTATCACTGAAAGCAGCGCAGGGCAATAAAGACTCGATTTCTGGTTTCTTTTTTCAGCCCGGTGCTATTTTTCACCAGAACCTTTGTGGCAACAGAAGCTCAAAGCATCGTTCCTTCCTGCTGTTATAAATCAAATGAAGTTCAAAGGCAAAGCCAGTCAAGGCAAAAGCCAGTTGATGGGAAGAGATCAAGGCTGGAGGAGCTCAGGTGTGCACAACCCATCACCTGCCCAACAGGTCAAAGCAGCTCCACTTAATGACCACTTAGAAGCTTTATCCCTCCTGCAGCTCAGACTTGGCCTTTATTGTTCCTTCCAAGTGTAAAAGAGGTTAAAATAAGAGTGCGCGGGGCTGAGGAAAAGCGAGGAGGTGCTTCTGGGGTTGGGAAGGCTGGGAACCTCCTCTGGGGTTGGAAAGGCTGGGAATGGGGTGATGGTGATGCCTCCAGCTGGGGGGTCCCAGCACGGGGAGGACACGGAGCTGCTGGAGCCAGTCCAGAGGAGGCACCGGGATGATCAGATGGACAGAAAGGCTGGGAGAGTTGGGATTGTTCAGCCTGGAGAAGAGAAGCTTCAGGGTGTCTTAATTGTGCCCTTCCAGTGCCTGAAGGAGCCAACAGAAAAGATGGAGAGAGATTGTTTATAGGGGGCTGGAGTGAGACTGTTTATAGGGGTCTGGAGTGCCAGGACAAGGGGGAATGGTCTCACACTGCCAGAGGGCAGGGTTAGATGGGTTATTGGGATGAAATTCCTCCCTGGGAGGGTGGGGAGGCCCTGGCACAGGGTGCCCAGAGAAGCTGTGGCTGCCCCTGGATCCCTGGAAGTGTCCAAGGCCAGGTTGGACGGGGCTTGGAGCAACCTGAGCTGGTGGAAGGTGTCCCTGCCCATGGAAGGGGTGGGACTGGATGAGCTTTGAGGTCCCTTCCAACCCCAACCATTCCAGGGATGGGACAGCCACAGCTTCTCTGGGAATTCCATCCCAGCGCCCTGACAGGGAACAATTTCTCCCCAAATATCCAACCCAAACCCACTCTTTCAATCCAACCCCCATCCCCTGGACGATGCGGCGCCCTGGGGGCAAAAATCAGAGCGCAGGAGGGAGCGGGGGCTCCCAACGCGCCCCCGCCGTGTCCCCGTCACCCCGACCCCCCTGTGCCACCCCAAAATCTGCCGCGCGGGGTGAAAAAGGGAGCCCCCCCAGGGCCGCCGTGACCCCGACGTGATTCGAACACGCAGCCTTCTGATCTGGAGTCAGACGCGCTACCGTTGCGCCACGAGGTCCCGGCAGCGCCACCTCCGCCCTTCCTGCAAGAGCCTGCGCGCCGCCCATTCCCGCAACCCGCCACCGGGACTGACCCGCGCGGGGCTCCCCCCTCAGCGGGAACCTCCCGCTCCCGGGAATCTCCATCTCCCGGGACTCCCCGGCCGGGCCCGTCGGAGCCGCCGCCGCCTCCTCGTCCCCCCCCCGCCGCCTCAACGGTTTCCAATCCGCCCGCCCGCCCCGCTGGCCACGCCCCGCCCCGCGCCTGGGCTGTACCACTGTCCCCCGGGAGGGGTGTCCCGGCGCCGCCTGGGGGCGCCCACCTGCGCGTTCCGGTGGCGGGGAGGAGCGATCCCCCCCCCGCTTTGGTTTGTCCCGGTCCCGGCCACGCCTCTTTTAAAGGGCCCGCGCAGGGAGAGCGGCCCGTGGCGTGCGATGAGTCGGGCCGTTCTCAGCCGTTCTTTTGCTGCTTATTTCGATGTGCTTCTGGCAGAGAAGGGGCCTGCAAGCAACCTGGAGAGGGACTTCTAACATGGCATGGAAGGGCAGGACAAGGGGGAATGGCTTCAAACTGACAGAGGGGAAGTTTAGGTTCAATATATGGAAGAAATTCTTTGTGGAGGGTGGGGAGGCCCTGGCACAGGTTGCCCAGAGAAGCTGTGGCTGCCCCTGGAACCCTGGAAGTGTCCCAGGCCAGGTTGGACGGAGCTTGGAGCAACCTGGGCTGGTGGAAGGTGTCCCTGCCCATGGCAGGGGGTGTGTCTGGAAGGTCCCTTCCAACCCAAACCCTTCCATGATTCCATGAAAGTTCACTTCGACTGCCCCTATGAGTGTCACCTTGTTTATAACCATGGTCACCCTGGATAGAAAATACATACATCTATAAATATATATATTCTTACATCTATTTATAATTCATATATAATTAGTAGAATTTTTATATTATATATTATTTTTATACTTAGTAAATTTTACCCGAGATGCCAGCACTGGATTTCACAGCAGCTTCTGCTTTGCACTGTCTCTGTGTGTGTGTAAGTGAGTGGCTTTGCAGCAGGACTCTCCAGCTGCCCACAGCTGGATTGGTGGGAACAGGATTAGGGAACTCCATCTCTCCTTGCCTCCCACCACAATCCCACCAAACCCTTCTGCACAGAATAAAACCCACCCCGGAGGGGTCTCGTAAATCCAGTTTATTCCAGCTGCTTCCCGGCGTGCTCGGACAGTTGGGATGGGAAAAGCGCCGGCTCCGAGTGCAGATGGAGCCGGACAAACCCCCTGGAATGTCAAGCAGGAGGAGACGGATCAATAGGCGAGTCTCAAAGCACAGCCGCGATGCTCATCTCGAATTTACAGCCTTGTCACAGCAGCGGCCGCCGGGCTCGGGGGGATTCGCAGCTCCGGGATACCCGGGAAGAGCCAAAAGGGATCCGTCTCCATCGTCTCCGCTCCAGAGTTTTCCTGATCCCTTCCCCGAGGACACGGATGCTCCCGGCATCCCTCCCCTGTTCCCCCCAAGAGATTCCCCCCGGGCCAAATCCTGCTGCAGGGCTGCGGGAAGGGGGAATGTCCCGGGAGACAATGGGTGTCGTAGGAAAATCCTCCAGGAAAACGATGCTCCCTCCCCTCGGGTGCTCCCTCCCCTCGGGCTGAACCCCGGCCAGCGAGGCTCCTTAACAAGCCCAATAATTACTCAAATAAATGTGGTTTTTTTCCATCTGACTTCAAAAGCCCTCAGCTGGGAGTCTTCCTGCTGTCCCAGGAATGAAGGGCATCGTTGTGGGGCTGATTTATGCCTTAATGCCACTGTGCCCTTCCCCACATCAAACCCACTTCCAAACTCCGGGAATACAGGCCTCTGGAAGGGGTATTTTGGGGTGTTTTGAAGAACCAGCTGAGAAAAGGAGGAAGCTTGTCCTGGAGCAAAAACCCTGATCTCCAAACGGCTCGAAAATCCACACTCTAAATATCCTTATAAACATTTTTTATTTATTTGTTTAACTCATATATTCCTCTCGCATAGGAATTCCCACGGGAAGTGCTCTGCTCTGTGCGTAGAGACGTGTGTGTGTTTATTTACAAATGCCACGTTTATTTCCCCAAACGTACAGTACTGTTTTTCTATGGCTCCTGGGGCCGGGAAACTCCTGAGGAACAGGTCCCTTCCTGATGAAATCCAGGCAGTGGGATAAAAAAAAAAAAAAAGGACAATACCAAGAGGTTTAATGCTCTGATCCCTGTTAGGCAGCATTAGGGGGATGTTGCAAGGATGGTTCTGTGCCTTTCCCTCTTTGTCAGGGATCGATATTTCGGGTGGAATCAGGAAAATTTATTGGCTGGAGCAAAATCCCGAAGCAAACACTTAGATTTAGGCAGGGCTTTGTTGAGTCAGGACCTGCTGTGAGCCTGCCTTTGCCTGCTTGTGCTGGTTGGTTGGTGGTGTTTTTGCATAGGAAAAATCTGGCGAAACAGGAGAAATCTGAGTGTTGGGGTCCAGTCCAAGCTCGTTTCTGTTTAATTAATATTTCTGTAGACACCTCAGTGTCAGATTGTCTCTCTGGGTTCCCACTGGCATAAAACAAGGGTCGAACTCGACCCACACCTTGTAATAAACTGCAGAGCAGTGATTAATCCCAAGTATTAAAGTCCATCACGTGGTCACCACCACGAATCCTCGTGCAAAAATAAAGTTACATTCAAGAAATACACTTTGGGTTGCACCAACTTCCCTGGGGGTTTTTTTGCTTGGTTTTTTTTGGGTTTTTTTTTTTTTTTTGGCCCAAAGCTAAATCTGAAGGTCCTCACCAAGGACTCGCCAGGGCTGCAAACCCTGAACTCGGGAGGCTCTGCTGATGTGCAAAAATAGGAACAGAACACGGTCAGCATTTTCTCCCAAAACAACACGAGCTTCCCTGTGCCCACCTGGAGCTGCCCAAAGCTGCCTGTGCTTTGTCCTCAGAATAACATTCTGGAAAACGTGGCGTTTTGGGGCAGCCACAGATAATTTTGAGCTAGAGGAAGGCTCGGGGAGGGGTGAGCTGGAACGGGCTGGGAGCATCCAGTCCGTGTCATCCGACTGCCCAGGAGGAGCTGGAAGAAAATCCTGCCCGTGGGAGGGGAAAAAGGATGGCTTTGACCAGGTGACTTCTGGGGAAAAAATAATAATAATAATAATAATAATAAAAGAAAAAAGTGGTTTTTTTCTTGGCTACCCCCCAGGATGCAGAGATTGCCCTGCCTGCAGCAAACACAGCTCGCTGTGAGCCCAGAGCTCCAGGTCGTGGCTTGGGTGGGAGTCTGTCCTGCTGTGGAGCGTCTGCCTCGGGCTCCCCAGGGTTATTTTCTGCTCCTTTTTCACGTCTCCAGCAAACCCTTTAAGAATGTGTTACCAGATGGAGAGTTCAAGCTGCAGTTTTTCCTTGGCTTGCCTCCCACAGCTGGTGCTTGTGCCCTTCCAGCTCGGTGCACAAACATTCCTGCAGCTCACACCAGATCCTGCACGCTCCTCACACCAGATCCTGCACACTCCTCACACCAGATCCTGCACGCTCCTCACACCAGATCCTGCACGCTCCTCACACCAGATCCTGAACACTCCTCTGGCAGGACCCCTCTGGCACCAGGACCCCTCCAACACCAGGAATCCTTCAGCACCAGGAGCCCTGCAGCACCAGGATCTCTCCAAACCCAGGATCCCTCTGTCTCTAAGACCCCTTATTCACCAGGACCCCTCTGTTACCGGGACAATTCCAACACCAGGATCCCTCCAGCACCAGCACAATTCCAACACCAGGATCCATCTGTCACCAGGATCCCTCCATCCCCAGCCCATCTTCCCAAGGGATCTGCACCCCCTACCCCCAGGTTTTGGTCCCCAGCCTGGCTGTTTTCCAAGCAAATAAACATCTGGATGCTCTTTCCCTCCTTCCTTCCCTCCCAAGGAAGCCAATATTTCCAGGGGGGGCCACACTGCCTGTCTTGGAGCGAGCCTGAGGCCCTGCTCTGCTCACTTGGGTCATTAAAACTGTTTTTTCCCGACACTCCAGCATCAGCTCCACACCTGACCCCTCGTTCCAGGCAGCTCCTCGTTCCAGGGGATGTTCTGCTCCATCCCAGGGGTGTCGTTGCTTCACTCCAGACTTTTGGCACTGCAGAAAAAGCTCGGGGTGCACGGGAAGGGGACGAGCCGTGGGACACCCACCCCCAAACCCCAGTGGGGACCCAGGGCAGGCACCACAGGGAGAGAGGAGCCCCTCCTCCTCTGTGCATCCCATCATCTGCTCCAAGGGAAGTTGGATGCCTTCCTCAGTGTAATAGGATTAAAGGAGGATTATTGCTGGTGGGAACAAATGCATCTTTCGGGAGCAGGGCTCTCCTTTCCCTGAGGAGGGGTGGAGGTGGAGGCTCTCTCCAGAGACCCTGGGAACCCATGGTGTGAGGGAACAGGGATTTGCAGACATTCCAGCTGTACACTGAGCTGGATTAGTGATGGAGAGGACACCTCACTCCTTGCTGCACCCTTTCCCCAAGGATGCTCAGGAACAGCCAGGACACAAGGGGTTGTGCAGCCTCAGAGAGCCTGAGCTCACTGCTCAGCCCAGGGGCGTCCCTGCACCTTCCTTCCTCCCTCCAGAGGATGGAAAAACCTTGGAAAAGCACTACTGGGTGATAGTTAGTAAGTCAGTAAGATTTATCTACTCCAGCATCGCTCGGCTCCGGGGGACTCTGGAGCGGAGAAGCAAAAGTGGGGTTGGAAGAGCCAGAGGCAGGAGAGCAAGAGGAAATCCTGGAAAATAAGCAAACCCCGAGCTTATAAAAATGCCAGGGGTTGTGCAAACGTGGGGGAAGAGAGGAGACGGGGAGAGAGTGTTCTGTGACAGGAGCTGTCACGCCCCAGCCCTCGCAGGCTCCGAGCAGACGCTGCCCTATTAAAACGCCGCCACGGGAAAGAGAGAAACAAAACCCATTTGCTTTTGCCCACTGCAGATTTGTCAGTGGGAGGATGGGGGGGCTCCGAGGGGCTCGGGGCAGGGTGGGGGATGCTCGGCTCTTGGCAGATTCGCTCCAGAAAAGCAAAAAAAAAATCAGGCTGCAGTCTGGTGGGAGAACAACGTGCGGACGACAAGACCTTCAGCCGTAAATCCGGAGGTCAAGTCATTCTGACGAGGGGGGGGGGATCAAAAAAGCACCACGAGCCGTTTATGAACACAATAGAGGTCAATCCAGGAGCAAACCATCTCGCTCGGAGACACGGTGGAAAACATATTGTTGCTTCGAGAGAGCTACATCCACCCGGGGAGGTGGGAAATTCTCTTCAAAAATAACTGCTGAGGCTCGAGTGCTTTAACGTTCACACGGCTCCTGGGTCGTTTTTTCTCGTGTTTTTAAATGCACATATAATGGGTGTGGGCGAGTGTCTGCCTGTCTCAGTTTTCCGTGCTACGTTCATTAAACCCCGGGCTTGGGAACCCCTCTCTGGAGACAGGAATATTCGAGACAGCTCAGCCCAGCCCAGCCTGGGGGACTCCCACTGCAACTGGGAGAACTGGAAGCCCCTCCCCAGCTCCAGCCTCCTCCCCAGTGCTGCTCCAGAGACACAGAACCTCCATAGCTGCACATCCTCAGCACCCCCCTGGCTCTGTGATCCAAGAGGTTCAGCAGCACAGCTCGCACAAAAATGAACTGGGCCACTCTTCCTCACCCCTCAGCAATGATTTAGTTCCATCTGAGCACAGATGGATGCTTTTCCATGATTTTCCTCCAAACCTCTGCTCTGGGTGCTCTCCCTGGAGCCTGCCCTGCTGCTCTCACAGGGTGATGCCTGCTCAGATCATCAGCAGGGACCCTCCTTGAGTCCCCCAAGCAAGCCAAAACGTGGGAGCATCAGCATTAACCAGGCTGGAACCTGCTGGGCTTGGTGGTGACAAGTGACAGGGCAGCTGGCCTGGCTGCTCCCTCACAGGTCACCTCCCGTGTCACTGTGTGCCCTCTTCCGTGCCAAAACCTGGAGTCCAGCTGGGAAATACCCACCTGGGAACGCTGCTGGGGGGCTGCAGCCCTGGATCCCACAGCTCACAGAGCTTGGGATTAAAGAGGGGAAAGAGCAAAGTGTCCTGAGCTGCCCCAGCCCGGGTGTGAGACACACAGACCACGCACAGCCCGTGGCCCCCTGCCCGTGTCCCACCTCCCAGCACATCCCACCCCAGCCAGCTGCTTTCCCAGGAAACAGGCACCCAGCAGGGAGGATTTAAAGCTCCTCAGCTGCACCCTGTGTTGTTATTGGGGCTTCTGGCCAAGCTCAGGTTTTCGTGCTAAATCCTTTGGATAAGAAAATAAAATAACAGCCGTGTTGGTCCTGGATGTTGGCTGAGCCAACAAATCTGCTCCCAAGGGAGCTGTCAGTGGCACAGACAGCTCTGTTGGCCGAGTGTGGGTCTGGGAGCACTGGGAAAACCCTGGAAAGGTCAAGCCTCTTAATCACAGAGGAGGATTTGTGCTCCAAGTGTGCTCATCCCCCATGGTGGGGTCTCCTCGAGGGTCTAAAAGTCAACACTCCCCTGTGCCAACCTGCTGCCCCCAAGCATTTTCCCTTTCCAGGGGCTGTCCCTGCTGCTCTCCAGCAAATGGGAGCTGCTGGTGCCTGGATGGGAATGCTGGGTGTGTTCAGGGACAGGGAACTGGGCACCGAGACCCAAACCCTGGGTGTGTTCAGGGATGGGGGACCTGTCACCCAGACCCAAACCCTGGGAGTCCCTGGCTCACCAACACTCACCAGCTTTCCCAACATCTTGGGGCTGTTTGGAGGGTATCCCAGTGGGAATGTCTGCCTGAGAGCCCTCGGGAAGGCACAGCATGCAGGGGGCTCCTGTATGGCTTTAGCAGAGGGTGGGAAGGACAGAGGGACAGGGGGGGGGGAAAGGGGGTTCCTGGGCACGGCCACCACAGGAAAGGTGGTGGGAGGAGCAGGACTAACCCTGGGGAAGAGCAGCTCCTGCCAGGCAGTCCTGGGCACTGCTTTTGGCCCCAGGCTCAGAGGGTCTCCACAGGGAGGAGGGAAGCGCAGTACGGAAGAATTTAAGGATTTCTGCCCTGGAGAACATGTCCCTGGAACGGATCTCAGGTGCCCCAAGCTCAGGAATTTGGTCCTGTTCACCAAAAGAGAACAACCTCCTGCTGAGCCTCATGGCCCAGGGGTGCAGGGGATGGGCTCACACCTCGAGGTGTCCCCCCTGCCCGTGGGGTGGGAGCTCCTGGTCTGCACTGGTCCGAGCAGGGTCCGTGTGTCTGGTGCCTCCAGAGCCCCCCAGGGTGCTGCAGCCAGGGGAGCAGGAGGGCAGAGGCACGGAGAATGGCTTCCTGGACTCACAGACAATTGCTTGAGGCTTTAAAAGGGGAAACAAGCCCCAAACCGGCTCCTTTTCTGCCTTCAGCCAGTCCTGCAGCAGCAGGACAACTTACCAGCCAGGGGCCAACCCTGCCCAGGACCGGGACTCCAAGGTCTGGCCCCGGCTTTTGAAACCCTTTCCAGGTCTGTCTAGTGAGATTTGCCGGAGCAAGGGCAGGTTGGCTCGCCCAGGAGGGAAATCTCTATCCCCCTGGGATGCAGGGTCCCCCTGACCCTGAGCGCTGGGGTGCTGGGGGCTCAGCACCCGGTGGGATTGCTGCAGCTCCTGGGTGACACCCCCAGCCTCTGCTTCTGCCTCCCGGCAAGGTCATTCCCGTGCCTTGGCTCTCCCCTGGCCACAACCGGCGTCTGGGAAGAGAAAATGAGAGAACGTGCCGGAGAAACGTGTTAGAGGAGATTAAGCAGCTCCCCCCCTGTGCTGCCCCAACCCCCGCTGCTGTCGGTGAGCAGCTGCTCAGCCCCGGCTCCCCTTCCCCTCCCAGACACCTCAGCTCGGTCCCTGAGCCCCCCGAGACCCCCCGAGCCAGGGCAGGCAGAGGTGGTGCCGCTGGGGGCAGGTCCTTGCAGAGGTGAGGAGGAGGAGGAGGCACCCAAAGCCCCCCCCCGGCGGTGCTGCCGTACCGAGGGGCCGGGCGGGGTCCCGAGGCACAGCTCGGCAGGGTCTGTCTGCTCCTCACACGGCCGTCTCCTGCTGTGCACTGGACTCTTCTTTCTTCCTCTTCATCTTGCAGAAGCCATGGAGCCCGCAGAAGCAAGCGAAGGTGAACTGGGGCATCACCTGGAGCAGGAGAGGCTCAGGAGCACCCCGGGGACACCTGGATGGGGACAGGGAGAGGAGTCAGGGCAGCTCCTGGGGGTACAAAGGCAGGATGGAGGGTGTAAAACAGACCTCCAGAACCACAAACCCGGAAAATTTCCCTGTACCAGCGCACATCTCCCCCCTCCTCGCTCCCCCAGGGCCCCCAGCCACGCTCTCCCAAATTCCCCAGCCAGCCAAAGGCAAGGAGATTAAAACTCCCCCCCTCCCCAGTCCCTCTCCCAGGGAACAATCAGGACAGACGTGGGGACAGCTTGCAGCTCCTGGTGCATATGGAGGGCCTGGGAGGTGAGGAGCCCTGGGACAGCCCCGGCACGGGGGCAGCACCAAAGGTTCTGGCACAAAGAGCCTCAGCTGAGCTCTCCCAGTTCCCTCTCTTTGTGTCCGTTTCCAGCAGATAAAATAATGCCCCAAAGCACAGCCCACATGATGGCCCAACAGCTGCAAAATGTAATTATGCAAATGAAAGGCTGGGGGTTTTTAAATAAATAACAAATCCTCGCAGAAATTCCGTCTGAAGCGAGACCTTCGTTTGCTCCCTGCTTTAATTTTTAGCTTTTCGCAGGAAAAACAGAATCCCAGCCTGGTTTGGGGTTGGGAGGGACCTTAAAGCTCATCCCATTCCAACCCCTGCCATGGGCAGGGACACCTTCCACTAGCCCAGGTGGCTCCAAGGCCCGTCCAGCCTCGGACACTTCCAGGAATGAGGCAGCCACAGCTTCTCTGGATAAGCTTTTGCACAGTTTGCAGCCCTGATTTTGGCCCAGAACAGGCAGTGCTGGTGCCCAGAGGGAGCTGTGCCCGGCCCTGCAGTGCCCAGCAAGGCACACCCTCAGCACCACGGCCCTCCAACCCCGTGGGGAGCAGGGGGACTCCCCCACTGGAGTTTGGAGCAGCCCTAATTCCCAGCAGGGCCAAATGGGAGGGAATTAACCACTGGGAAAAAAGCCAAAGCAGGTGGGGCCCGTGGCCCCCCATGAGCCCCCCAGCAGCGGTGACGGTGCAGGGGGTGATGCCACATCCCTGCCTTTCCACTTCCCTGCTTTCCAAGGGGGCCCAGCTGCAGCACAAAGCCAGAAACATCCCCTTTAATTCACTCCTGCCGCTGCCCCCCGTCCCCAGCCATCTGGGTACCTGTCTGGGAGCTCCCAAATTAAATCAGGCTCTACCTCTGGAGCTCGCAAATAATGACAAGGGGCTCTTTAATGAGCCTCCCGTTCTGAATGGCTTCCCGGCATAGCGGCAGGTCCCGGCGTCTGCCTTTGTGCTGCTGCTTTTTTTGTTGCCAGCCTGAGAATGGGATTTTGGAGGGAACGGCTGGTAGGGGGGGCCTTTTTGGGGGGGGGGTGGTCGCTCAGCTCCCACCCCTGAGCCCTCCCGGGTTTGCACGGCTCCAGCTGGAGCAGAGCACGGGGAAGGGGCGATGGGGAGGGGGAGCCTGTTTTGGGTGGGCACACGGCGTCTGGTCCAGCACCACCTCACCCGGGGTTTTTAAATGCTTCCCCCTCGCCCGGGCAGGACACCCCCACCATCCCCACAGCACCATCCCTGCTGTTCAACACCGCCCACATCAACCAGGCAAACCCCAGCCCCCCCAGGGGTGCCCCGTGCCACCCCAAATCTGGCCGTGCCCATCCCGGCTGTCCCCCCCACGCAGACACAAAGGCTCCCTGAGAGCCTGGGCGGTCTGGCTGGGACCCCAACGTCCATTAGGCACCTATTGATATATTTAGAGGAGCTTGTACCACGGAGGCTTTTCAGGCTGACCCTCTGCCTCCCATTCAGGCAGGGGACAATGATGAATGAGCCCCGGAGAATGGAGGCAGCCCAGCTGAGGCCGACGCTCCTGTTCTTCTTGAAAAGGTGGAAAAAGGATCCTGAAGGAGCAAGGAATAATTAAAAAATAAATGAACTGGCTTGGGCAGCGCTGACAGAGGCCCTGCCTGATTTGCAAGGGCCGGGCATGCTCCACAGCCCCGTTGCTGCCCTTTCTATTCAGGGGAGAAGATCCTTTCTCCGATAAAACTCTGGCTGCAGCAGAGAGAAAATGCGAGAGAGGAGCATTAAAAATGTAAAGCTGGAGAATTCTCTTTAGTCAACTGCATAACCCCAGGCCGTGTTTGTCACTGTCACAGTGATGAATTGGGAGCTGTCTGCAATCAGCATGCTCACTTTAATAATGGCACTTTCCCTGAGCCCTGAAAAAATGTCTCTCTGAACCAGCTGGACGGAGTCTGTTCCTCAGCCCGGCGAGTCCTGATTCCCTGGGATTCGCTGGGCAGCTCTTGGCACCACGGCTGGCAGCAGGAGCAGCTTCAGGAGGGAAGGTGCTGGGCAGGGAGAGCCAGGGGAGCAGGCAGGGGTGCAGGCAGGGGTGCAGGCAGGGCTCAGCACAGCCTGGCTGCAGGGACAGGAAGGTGCTGCCGGGCTCCATCAGTGAGCACCAAACCCAGGGCCATCCCAGCCCTGGATGGGCACCATCCCAGGCACCAGGATCTTCCATTCCAGCCGATTTTCTTCCCCTGCCTCAGCTTTTCTATTTCTGGGAAGCGCCGTCGAATTAACTTTTTAGCAACTTCGGGGGGAAAAAAAAGAAAAACACAACAAGTTTTGCATTTGAAACCCTGAATTTCAAGGCTGCCTTTTTGCTGCCGGCGTGTCTCGGGCTTCCTCCCTGGGAAACGAGATCATTTGCAATGGAAATTGCTCCTGTATTTTTGCAGGGGAGCAGAATGGAATTAAATAATTTGTAACGAAACGCAACAAAGTTCCCAGAAATTTTGTTTCATTTGCCTTTGGTGATGGCTGGTCCAGCCACAGCCACAGAGGAGATTTTTAGGAGTGACTGATGATTTGGGGATCACCAGCCTGGCTTTCTAAAATCCACTGAGCAGACACCCTTGGAAGAGTCCCCAGAGACACGGTTGGGACTTGCAAGGACTTTCTTCAGGAGCCTGGATGATGTGGATGCTCCAAGCACGGGCAGAGCTTTGCCTGGGACTTCTGTCCCTTCCATTTCGAAGCATCCGAGGTTCAGGTCCTGCCTCCCAGAGCCTGTCCCTGCGTGGACACAACCCCTTTCCCACACTCCTCACCCTCCTCCTCCTCCTCCAATTTAGCTGTTTGTCAGCCAACCTTTCAAACTCATTATTTCCCGGGGTTGCTTTTTATTTTCCCCCCACAAACCTCGGACATCTCTGCTGCTTACAACCAGTCCTAAGCTAAACCCGACTTCAAAGCAGCTTCTATAATGAGCAGCAGTGCATTAGAAACCCGACAACAGAGGAGCTGAGGCCGAGCTAAAACCAACCTGAAAAGAAGCACCATCCCTTTAAGGAGAGATAATGAACGGAGAAGATGTTGCTTGGCATGTTTGCAGAGAATCACTAATTAAAACATCGCTTCTGTAAAGTCTGCTGATCCCATTGATTCTTCCCCCCACACAGTTAATTTGCTGCTAGGAAGGCAAAGTCGCAAGGGTCCTCATTATAAAAATTTCACTGGCTGCAGCTAATGGTTGTAATTAATAGGTGCAATAAATTTCAAATGGGCAGCCGGGGTGTTCATTAGCTGCGGGCTGACTCAGCACCGGTGGCCTCACCAGTTACTAAATAACCCATTTCCAAGCAGACGGGAGGGGGAAGGTGCTCGGTGGCACAACCGGTGCATCCCTAATTCCCCGCCCAGGGCAGAGCTTGAATAAAGAATTCCCGGCCAGCCCCGGGTTTGGCTCTTTTTGTCCCGGCGGTGAATTGTCTGTGTAAACCTCCCCCGGCAGCTGATGGGGGGTGGGTTTTCCCAAAAGGTTGAGTGACCTGGATTTCGGGTGGGATCAGCGCTCAAGGAGCTGAACCCTCTGATGTAAAGGGTGAATACCCAGTGATGGTGTCACAGCTCAAACCCAGGCATGGCTGGGTCTGCCTGTTGAGGGTGTGGGTTTTAATACCCTGGTCTTTCTCTGAGCATCCCATGCCAAGGTTGAGCTTTAAAATCCTCCCCAGGCTCCCCCTGAGCATCATTTCCCCCGTGGAAGGTCCCAGTGCTGCAGCCCCCCGTGTCCACCAACCCTCCCGGGGCTGGGTGCTGTCACAGCTTTGATTAAAAACTGCAGCTTTTCAGTTCGTTGTCATCTGGCTGTAATTAAAATATCAATAATTGGCACACTTTTCCCCCAGTTATCTCCCGGGACCGGCACCCAGCGGGGCTGGGTAACCCAGGAGGAAGGTGGTGCTCTTTCAAATCATCATCGAGGCTGCACAGGGACAAACCTCATCCCAATTCCCGGCGGTATTTGGGAGCTGGTGCCCTGTGGCTTCACGTGCCTGAAGCTAAAATGACTTGTGCTGCCACGAGGGGTGTCCAGGGGCTGGTACAGCCGCACAGGGGCTGCCATTCCCCCTCCTTGGACAAGCCTGGGCCTCACCCAGCTTTGGGACACGGGAGCTCCACACCCAAGAAGCCTGGCCGTGGATGCCTCGCTCATTAATGGCAGTTATTATCTGTAATTAGCAGCTCCTCCTGCTCTGCACATTCGCTCCTGGGAGCTCAGGAAGGACCAGGGAATGCTGGAGGGGTCCAGCCGGGTGTTTTTGGACACAGGGCTGCCCAGGAGTGTCTTTGGGTGGCTCCTCCTCGAGCTGCTTTCTTTAGACCAGCCACGGGATGAATTGGGATTTCGATCACTGCCTTCTCAGAAAGAGCTGCGTGCCTCAACTCTCAAAGATGCTTTGAGAATTCCAACCTGCTCCACTGTTTTATTTAATGCCATGAATCCTTCATAACCCAGGGCAGCCGAGGGGCTTGGCTGTGCCCAGCCCTGGACGTGGGCAGCAATCACAGAGCTGTGCTAATTGAAAGGTGGCTGGAGCTGCTGCTGGGAGGTGGATGCCAGACAGGCTGAGAGCTCACCTGGTGCTGGCAGCATCTCCTCCTCACGCTGGACCTTTGCCAGGGGTCCCTGCCAATGCCTTCTGCAGGGCAGGGCTTTCATGGCAACACTTGTCCCGTGCGTGTCCCCTCAGGTGTCCCTGAGGCCGGAGCAGACTGAAAACCACAGGACAAATCTCTCTCCTCAAGCCCCTGGGCAGTGCCTGGGGGCACTG